CAGCTGGGACGAACAAGCGGGCCCTTTCCTTGCAACAACAGGGTCCTCTGTAAGAGCAACAAGTGCTCTTAACTGCTGAACCTTGTCTCTAGCCCTAAATGTAGATATTTTTGTTTTTGTTTTTGTTTTTGATACTCTTGAAACTTCCTCTGACCATGTAGACCAGCCAGCCTTGAACTCAGAGATTTGCCTGCCGTGCCTCCTGAGTGCCGAGATTAAAGAGTGCATCATCACACTGAGAAGCAGAGACAGAATAATATGTATTATTTCTAAAGTATCTCTGCCCCTAAACAGCTCTGTGATCTTGGATATTCTGTTTAATCTCTAGCTCAGTTGTTTGTTTGTATCGTAGAAATAAACTATCATTTAGGCATGTTGTGACTACAAAATGAACCGAGCAATTAAAAAAAAGATATAAATGTATTAGTCAGGGTTCTCTGGAGCAGTGGTTCTCAACCTTTGGGTTGCAGCCCATTTGGTGGGGGGATCCCATATCAGATATCCTGCATATCTGCAGGATATTTGCATTATGATTTATAACAGTAGCAAAATTATAGTTAGGAAGTAGCAACAAAATTATTTTATGGTTGGGAATTACCACAACACGAGGAACTATATTGAAGAGTCACAGCATTAGGAAGGTTGGAAAACCATATATTTGTGTGTGTGTGTGTGTGTGAGAGAGAGAGAGAGAGAGACAGAGAGACAGAGAGAGAGAGAGGGAGAGAAAGAGAGAGAGAGAGAGAGAGAGAGAGAGAGAGAGAGAGAGAGAGGATTATTAGAATGGCATATAGACTGGTCCAGCTAATCCAACAATGGCTGTCTACCAATGGAAGGTCAAAGAATCCAGTAGTTCACTCCACAAGATTGGATGTCTCAGCTGGTCTTCAGCATGTTCTGGAATCCCAAAGAAGTAGGCTCTAATGCCAGTGAAGGAATGGGCTTGCTAGAGCAAGAGCAAGCAGGCCAAAAGAGAGCCACTTTCCTTCTTCCATATTCTTTATATAGGCTGCCAGCAGAAAGTGTGGTCCAGATTAAAGGTGCATCTTCCTACTACAAAAGATCTGAATTAGAAGTGGGTCTTCCCACTTCAAGTGACTTAATTAAGAAAGGAAAAAAAAATCCCTCACAGGTGTCCCCAGTCAATTGGGTTTTAATTAAGTCTAGTTATAGTCAAGTTGATAACCAAGTACAGCCATCGTACCTAGGTGGTGGTGGCACACACCTTTAATCCCAGCACTCAGGAGGCAGAGGCAGGTATATCTCTGAGTTTGAGGCTAGTCAGGGTTGCACATAGAGGAACCCTGTCTGGGCAGGAAGATGGGGAGAGTGGGGGAGGGGCAGGGATGGAGAATAGCCATCACGATACATGAAGCTGTCGATAATTTTTTTTTAAAGGCTTTCTGTAGTTTTCTGTTTAAGATACCTTGTGTAGTGCTCTGTAATTTTCTGTTACATAAATGTGAACCTTGACACTTCTGTACCAAAAATAGGAGCCAGGTAGAATAAATTTACCTTTCTTATATAAATAATGCTTTCAAATGAAAGGTTGGGGCTGTTTTTGAAACTCATTTTGCTGCTAAAGATAATAGAGGATGTTTGTTTAATTTATGGTGGTGGTTGTTATGGGATATTTATGCAAAAATGTGTTGCATTTGTTTATTTTTCGGGATAACTGTTTAACTGTAAAAGTGTGTTGCATTTGTTTATGTTGTAGAATATTTGTTTAACTTTGTAAAGATGTGTTGCATTTGTGTAATTACATAAAGATGTGTTGCTGTTTTACTTTGTTTGCCTAAGGCACCTGATTGGTCTAATAAGCTGAATGACCAATAATAGCAAGGGAATATAGATGGGACTTCTGGACAGAGAGAGTAAGTAGCAAGAAGAATTTAGGCTGGAGAATGGGTGGAGGGAGGGAGAGATGGCTGTTTCACTCATTAAAGAAAATTGAAACATACAGAAAAATAGCAAAAAGGTTGACATGTCTACAGTTTTCCTGCTATTAGTTTTTAATCCCTGATTTGACTTGAAATCTTGATCCTCTTACCCCAGCCTCCTGAGGCCTGGTGTGTAGGCATGCACCACCATACACAATCCAATTAGAAGGATTTAAGTTGAGTGTATTGGCTTTTGTTACAAAGGCCTTTATAATCTATTAAAGTTTAGTTACCATTGGTAATTGCAAGATTGAAATGCTTCAGTTTGCATCTTCTCTGTAGTTCATGTTGCTCTTGTTCTTAGTCTGTTCTCTACATTCTGTTCTTTGTTTTTCCCCTTGGCATACTTTTATGCATGGTCTTGTGGGTGGATTCTGGACCATCTGGTACTTTAGAACAGTTTAAAACTGATTTTGTTGACTCTATTTGAGCCATACTTTCTTGAAATGTTCTGGTATGTCTTTGTGCTTGGCACTTCTTCTCTTTTATATCGTCACTGCTTTCATGACTAATTTTCCCCTAACACATGAATTTTTTCAGTATCAAGTATTCATAGATTAAGTTGATCAAGACTTATTTTTTTGTAGGTCTTTCCCCCAAACTCCTATAATAAAAACTTCACACCTGTGAATTCAAGGCCATACCTTTTATATTTCACTCCTTTCTAGTACAGAATAGAAATTTATCTAGTTAAAGAGTCTTAGCTAGGCAGCGGTGGCAGTGGTGGTACACATCTTTAATCCCAGCACTTGGGAGGCAGAGGCAGGCGGATCTCTGTGAGTTTGAGGCCAGCCTTGGTCTACAGAGCAAGTTCCAGGAAGCCAGGGCTACACAGAGAAATCCTGTCTTGAAAAACTAAAGTAAAATAAAAATGAAAGACTTGATGTAATTATTAGAATTGATTCCAAAGCAAAATATAGAATTGCAAAATGAAATCTGTCCTGTTTTAGTTCTCATCATTTCATTTGTTCATTTCTTTTGTTGATTTTGAAGTGTGCATTTAATGTCTTAGCAAATTTTGTTAATAAAACTAATAATTACTGTTTCAAAAGCTAAGTTTCTTTTGGAGTTTTAGTCATTAACTCTTTGTGTGTGTGTGTTTTGTTGCAGGTGTGTGTGTTTTGGGTGTATGATATATTCATATGTGAGTGTGCCCTTGTGTATGCAGAAGCCATAGGAGGATGTCTGGTGTCTTTCTCTATTGTGCTCCATCTTGTTCCCTTGATACAGGGTCTCAGTGAACCAGAAGCTCTCTGTTTCTACTAGGCTGGTTGGCTAGCAAGCTCCTCGGATGCTCTTGTCTCTTGCCTCAGTGCTGGGCTTGTAGGTACATATGTCATGCCTGTTTTTTATGTAGGTGTTGGGGACTTGAACTGAGGTTCTCACGTTTGCACATCAAGCATTCCTCACTGACATTTTCCCTGCTCAGTTTCTTTTTCTTTTCTTTTCTTTCCTTTTTTTTTTTTTTTTTTGGAATCTGAGACATAGTAATGAGCTGGATGAGCTGCTAGGACAGTAAACTGAATCAAGACTCTACGGGGTAGTCCATGAGCATATTTTAGGAAACACTGTGATGCTTGGAGTGGGGAAAACCGAATTGTGTATACTGATTCTCTGACAAGTGACTTCTGAAATTAGTGGCCCACACCTTTTATCCCAGCACTTGGGAGGCAGAGGCAGGCGGATCTCTGAGTTTGAGGCCAGCCAGGGCTGTTACAGAGAGAAACCCTGTCTCAAAAATTCAAACCAAACAAAACAAACTAAAAATTTTTGCTGGAAAAGCAGAGACTACAGGATATGTGTACATAATTGGTATATACATAATGTATCTTAATTATATATTGATTTCTAGACAATATTTCTAGACTTCACACTGTGCCTGTGTATTTCTACCCATGCCCTTCTTCCCTCACCCCTTAGTAAGTATTGTTAAATCTTTCTTAAATCATACCCTCCTTTTTTGTCTTCACTGACATTTAGGTCCTCAACTGAATCATTTAAAGTTATTCCCTAAGTTACTTCCTATGTTCTTCCTATCTTTACATAGACACATGTACAAATAATCACTCTTGAATTTGTTTTCCTCTGTATCCTTATTTCTTTAAATTAGATGGGGCCCTTTATAAATTTTCTTCTACAAAATGTTAAACCGTTATTTCTGTTCATTACTTTGTGTGTGTGTGTGTGTGTGTGTGTGTGTGTGTGTGTATGTGTGTGTGTGTGTTTGAGACATGATCTTGCTATATAGGTCACATTGACCTCTAGTAGATATGCAAGAATGTGCCGCCGTGTCCAACTTCTTCCTAGTTTGTACAGATGTAGCTGAGCTTTGTTAATTGCAGGCACACATGTTGTCTCTAAGTAGATTCACCCTCTTTTCCCCATACTTTAACGTTCCTGCCTTCGTGTCATCCTGCAAGCCTCTTAGATGCCCTTCTTTGTCCTGAACATTCTTCCATATTCCTGTACAGGCAAACCTGAGCTTTTGAGCACTGATATTCTTCAGCTGCCTTTCAAATGAGCTATTATGTTCATCAGTTGGACAAGGAGCCCTTTGAACTGTGGGTGTGAAATGAGTGGCACTGCCTGCACATAAGCAATTCAGCTCTGATGACATCAGATCATCATCAGGACACCAGTTTGTGTACCCCAGGTTGTTTGTTGTGGTGCTGTGGTCACAATTACGCCTTTTTACACACTAGACACTTTCCTATTGTACTGCATCCCTTTATCACTTTATTGAAGTAGATTTTGAATTGATTTTTAAGTGCTGCTTGGGTAGAGGATAAACATTTTGAAGAGGGCTTTAAACTGACTTTTGTTTTGTATTGGGTTTCTGGGTAGAATTATGTATGAACAAAAATATTAGATTCTTTCCTGAATTTTTGTGATTCTTTGACTGTGTTTATTCATTCTCCTCGTCACCAAAGAAGAAAATATTTTCCCGAAATGAAGGATTTTTTTTATCTTTTTGTTTCTCAAATATCTTTTGACTGAATACCAAATGTATCACAAAGAATTATTGAATAAAATATAATTGCTATTTATTGTTTATTTTAGTTGTCAAGTGGGAATCCTGTATATGAAAAATACTATAGACAGGTAAGATTTTTACTATATTTGTATTCTGAATTAAGCATAAAATACAATATCAATTGTTGATTATATACATGTAGATGAGGAGTCACTAGATAGGTTTGTTGTGTCATGATTCAACTTTTTTGAGTTTAGCCTCTAACTTTGGGTAATTGATACTGTTTTGTTTTTGAGAGGTCCTGCTAGGTGGTCTCAACTGGCCTTTCAGTACATAATCCTACCTCAGTCTCCTGAGTGTTAAGATTATAGGCACACACCAAAACTAGATAATAGCTCTCAGAAAAAAATGAAAAAGAATTTAATTACCCTAAATATCTGTTAAAAAAATCTATAGCACATTAGATATATTCATTCAGATATGAATATCTTAGTTAATGAATAAGCCAAATAGAAATAACATTTATGTGTTGTTTATTTATTTAGTGGTTTGGTTCTTGTTTCCTGTTTGGCTGACCTGGTATTCACTGTGTAGCTCAATTTTGTGTTGGACTTGTCAGAGTTCTCCTGCCTCAGCCTCTAGTGCTGAAATTTTGGTGTTCATCATTTCACACGTATTAAGTGAGCGTGGGGCTGAGGATGTAGTTCTTTGGTAAGTGACATGTTCATCACACAAAAGACCCTAGGTTTAATTCCCAGTACCAAAGAACAAACCAGCCAAACAACAAGAAATGTATCAAGCATTTTGTTAATAAATTAGGGAAACATTCAGATATAAAATTAAGAATACAAAAATCAGGTATGATAATAATTAATCCTAGCAGTTCAGGATAATCCTAGGCTACATAATGAGTTTGAGGCCAGTGTGAGCTATGTGATACCTAAACTCAGAAAGCATTGAAAATGAAAATTGTAGTGATTCATACTCAAGCAGAATTTTTTTTTTTGCATTTGTGTGGATAGGAATCACTTGCATTGCTAACAGTGTTCTGTAATTTAACGTCTCGTTCTACAGTTTAAAAGTCTTATTAAAAAGCTAATCAGAAATAAATATTTTAGACCAGATAATGTCCTGATGTTCTAAATGGTTTCGTTGCTCATTTCTTTCTTTGTCCTTTAAAAAAAAAAAAATCTTGAGACATCTTTATACACCCTAGGCTGGCCTTGAACTCACTAAGTAGCAGAGTATGTATGACCTTGAGCTTTCAGTCATTTATGCCTCTGCCTGTCAAGTACTGGGATTACAGGTGTTTGTCACCATGCCCAACTTCATTTTTGTGTATTTGATTGTTTTCACAGAAAATTTGTGTAATTATAGAAAAGGGTGGTCTCATTTGGCTTGGTTGTCTACGTCATTTAGCAAATACCAATTAGCCAATATAGAGATCCCTTTGGTTTTGACTTGCAAATCTAGTACTGTGTACTACTTAGCAGCTTCTAAGTTGAATTCTTAAAAATTTGCAGAGTCTGATTGTATTTTTTATTTTAAAATGTATACATACTTCTTAAGAGTGTGGTTCTTAAGAACCTATGTTGCTCACACTGGTCTTGGATCAGGGCTCAAGTCATCCTGTCTCATCCTTATAAGTAGCTGGGGTTATAAGTATACGCCAACATGTTCAGTTTGATTTATACTTCTTTAAACTTTGTCTTTTGAGATGAGTTTTCAGGCTGGACTCAAACCCATGATATAGTTGAAAATAGTTTTGTATTTCTGATCCTCCTTCCTTTACTTCTCAAGCGCTGAGGTTATTGTGGACAACCATGCCAGTGTTGATTTTATTTTTTTGTTTTGTCTTAGAAACAGGGACTTGCTATGTAGTCAGACTTTCATTAAATTCTAAATCCTTCTTCCTCAACCTCCCCTGTGCTAGCATTGCAGACATATACCACCATACCTGTAATCTTTGTGGATGGGGTAGGGACAAGGTGTCACTGTAGTCCACCCTGACCCCAAACTTGCTATGTGACAGAAGTTGGCCTTGAACCTGCTGATCGTCCTACCTGTACCTCCGAAGTGCTAGGGCTACACTTAGCACTATGTCTGGCTTTATGCCTGTTTTTTAATTGAAATTTTAAACGTTTTTGTTTGTCTTTCTGTCTTTAGGCTAGGATCTAAATCTTGGAAATTCTTTCCACCATATTTTTTGTTGTATATATGAATTAGAACTGAGTTTTGCCCATGCTGAAATTCTTAGTTAAAGCGTTTACTACCTGTGATGGTGGGACTTTATAATACCAGATAGTAAGCCAGTTTTCTCTTCCCTCCCTCCCTCTCTCCCTCCCTCCCTCCCTCCCTCCGTGTGTGTGTTGTGTACATATGTGTGTGTACATATGGAAGTTAAAGTGTCTTTACTCAGGTGCCCTCCACCTTTTGTTTGAGACCAGGTCGCTCTTGCTGGCCTGTGTCTTTGGCCAAATAGTCTAAGCTAACTGACTATTGATCTCCTGGAACTACCTATTTCTGAATTGTAGGTTACCACCTTATCCAGCCTTTTACTTGAGTTCTGGGGATCCAAACTCAAATTCTCATGCTTTAAAGCATTCGGAGCATCCGAACTGGGGTATTTGAATTCAGGTCCTATTTCTTGTAAGTGTTTTACTGACAGAACCATCTCTTTCCCTCATGTTGGAGGTGTAGCGGGAGGCTGCTTATTGGTTCCCGGCTGCTCAGCCTCGAAATAACCACACAGATACTTTATTAATTAAATCACTGCTTGGCCTATTGGCTCTAGCTTCTTATTGGCTAACTCTTACTTATTAATTTAACCTATTTCTATTAATCTGTGTATCACCACATGGCTGTGGCTTACTGGCTAAAGTTTCAACCAGCATCTGTCTCCAGTGACTCCATGGCACCTCTCTGACTTCACCCTTTTTTCTCCCAGCATACAGCCTAGCTTTTCCCACCTAGTTCTGTTCTTCCCTGCCATAGGCTCAAAACAGTTTTTTATTCATTAACCAATAAAAGCAACACATAGACAGAAGGACCTCCCACACCACCCCCATGCATGCCCAGTCATTGTAGGAGAGGTTTATATAGATACTGACTCCACATCAAGCTACTGTTCTTTACAGATAACTTGTTTTATCAGAATAAAAGAGAATTGTTCTTAAATATGAACTTGTGTTGTACACTTGATTAATTTATTTACAGCCTTTTAAAAAGCCAAAGAACTTGTTGAATCTTTGTGATTATATTGTTATAAAAAGTAGTCTTTCAGTAAAAATTATTGTTTTGGTAATCTGATGAATCAGAGAAATCGGTTTCTATTGGAAAGTGTTTTTATTCAGTTTACAATAGTGGAGATTACTGTATTGAGATAGCCTAAGAAGAAAAATAATCTATCTATCTATTTATTTATTTTTACATTTTGAACTTGGGGTGTACATTACTGGTAGAATGCTTGTTAACATGAGCAAAGCCCTGGGTTCTGTCCCAAGCACTGGGAGGTGGGAGGTGAGGGTGAATGAATGATGTCCTTATTCTGGGTTTCCCAAGGCAGTTGTAGTAGTACACTCCTGTGATCCTAGAACGTGGGGAGTTGAGGCAGGAGGATCATTCAGGATCATGTTCAGTTACACTGGAGTTTGTTACATGCTTGGTTTACGTACATGAAACAGTATCTCAATAAAAGAATAGAACTTAAACCATAGGGCATGATGTCTGTAATCTTACCACTCAGGAGACTGAGGCAGGAACGTCATAAATTTGAGGCTAGCCTGGGTTATACAGTGAGACTTTGTCTGAAGAGTTGGACATGGTGGTGAAACTGTGATCCCAGCACTTGGGAAGTGGAGATGGGGGTAGGAGGATGTCAGGAGTTTAAGGCCAGCCTGGGCTATAGGCCTTGATTCTTGAAATAATTTTTTTTTTAAAAAAAAAAGAAGAATAAGGAAGAGGACTTGAGATGACTGCATGGGTAAGCACTCATAACTCGAGTCAGTATCCCAAATTCATGGTGGGGGAGAGAACACACTCTTCAAAAGTTGTCCTCTGATCTCTACATACATATCATGCCCCTGCCCCCGTCACACACACAGAAATAATTCAAAAATTTTCTGGATTTAAAAAGACACCCCCCCCATCCTCAAAACAACAGAAAAAGAAGGGAAAAGAAGAAGGAAAATAATAATGTCAGATAGAAGGCTCACTTGAGCCAGGTAGTTCAGAGTTAGCTTGAGCAACATAGCAAGACCTGCTCTTTTAAAAAATAAAATACTACAATAATCCCGATAGAGGGCTGGGTAATACAGCTCAGTGTTTACTCATCACAGGAGTGTCTGCTTGTGGGAGACCTTAAGCTCACTCTCTAATGCCCGAAAAATAAAATCTCAGTAACATTTCAAGTAATAAGTAATAATAACAAATAAATAATTTGTTCAATCCTATGTGATCTTTTTTCTGATTATCTTATGCCAGGAATTTGTTTGGGTGTAGTAGATTAGCTTCCAGGTCCAGTTTACTAGTCTAGTCTCAAAGTTCTTGAGTTGATGTTAGTTACCCAGAATTCTTTTCTCCCCCTTGTGAGATGGGGTTACCCCACCCCTCCAGACAGGGTTTCTCTGTGTAGCCCTGGCTGGCTGTTCTGGAACTCAATCTGTAGACCAGGTGACCTTGAACTCAGAGATCTCTCTGCTCTGCCTCTGGAGTGCTGGTATCAAAGGCCTGAACAACCGCTATGCTCAGCTTTTGAGACAGGATTTTATACAGCCTAGATTGGCCTTGAAACTTGCTGTGTGATGGGGATGTGTCTTGAATTCCCAGTTCTCTTGCCTCCTCCCAAGTGTGGGGATTAAAGGTTTATGCTGGGACTGGGAGAGATGATTTAGTGGTTAAGAACACAGGTTGCTCTTTTCCAGAGGATCTGGGTTCAATTTCTAGCACCTGTGTGGTGGCTGAAAACCATATGTAACTCCAGCTCTAGGGGATCCAATGCCCTCTTCTGACCTGTGGGCATTGAGCACAGACCTGTGTACAGGCAAAACACCACACACATACTTTTAAAAAGGCATGTGCCGTATGTCTGCTTTTTATTCTTTTTCTTTTACTGTACTGAGAATTGAATATAAGGCTTCCTATTGAATAAGTGCTCTACCACAGAGCAATAGTGTCAGCCCAGTAGTCTCTCTCTCTCTCTCTATATATATAGACTGCAATATATATATATATATTTAAGTGTTGAAATGTAAAGTCCTTTGTGAGATTATGGAACTCTGTTGAAGACATCAATTCTAGCTTGTAGTTTATAGCAGAGCCTTTTGCAGGAACTAGGGGATTGTAGAAACGTCCTGTAGGTGAATGTAAATGGATGTTTTAAATTTGTTACTGTGATTGCAAGAATGAAAGATAAGATTCCATATTAGGATACAGTATGTAAATACGTAATGAATTCAATCTATGTTTACTTTGAGTGTATTGATATTTAGGTAATGCTGGGCGTGAATGTTCCATTCTTATCATGGTCAGGAAGTGGGTAAAGAAAAATAGTTCTGGAGAATTTTAGAGATATGTTTCCTTATACTTCTGTACTTCCTTCTTCTCCCCAAACTGAAGGATTAGGCAGTTTTTTTGTTGTTGTTGTTGTTTTGTTTTGTTTTTTTGTTTTGCTGAGTGCCTGATTTAGCCTGTTCTTGCCTTTGAGAGAGGTTCCACCCCCTTCATTCTGGGACTGGGCTGTGTAAATGCTTCATGTGTTTACAGTAAACTTAGTCTTTTTAACTAAACTAGGAACACAGCTACTTCATGAATACCCTAGTATAATATTTCCTTTCCCATGACTTTTAAGATTTACTTTTTATATTTACAAATAGAAGTTTAGGAAGTCTTTACAAAAATAAGTTTTTTTCCATCCTCTTGTTTGTTGTGACCTCATTATGTCTTAAAGGATAAGTCCCTATCAGTCAAAATAATGTATTCCTCTTAATGTACTGTAGAAATGAAACAGTTTGTTATTTTAGGTTTGACATGACTTAAAGCTGATACTGCTTTGATATTTTTAAGTGTTTCAATTTCTAAGAGCAGATACAAAAGCCTAAGTTAATCTAAAGCTATTTGAAGAGTCAAATCATGCTTAGTTATCCCAGTTCTCAGAAGACTTCTAAGAAATACTTTTTCTTATATTGCCATTCAAATGACAATCATAAAAGTCTGGAATTAGATCTGTGTTCATGTTCTAACTCTACTCACTTGCTTTTCCATGAACTTGTTTTTTTTTTTTTTTTGCTTGTATAATAGAAATCATAAACTTATTTTGCAAACTGACTCCTGTTTGGATGGTACCATTCTTAGAAGACTCTGCAGAGGTCTTGCTCTTGTTAGCAGAGGGATTCTGATTCTAGTTCATGAATTAAGGAGGAGACATGGAAAGTGATATCATTTTGATTTTGTGTTTTACTGTCAGCTTCCTATTTTTCTTTTTAGGTTGATACAGGCAATACTGGAAGGGTGTTAGCTTCAGATGCTGCTGCATTCCTGAAAAAATCAGGGCTTCCAGCCTTGATTCTGGGAAAGGTAGGATGTGCTTATTATAACTAGATTATAATGAGTATGGAGAAGCATAATAGAACTGCAAATAAATTCAGAAGGTTGCAATCAAGAAACATTCAAATTAGAACTGAGCATAGGAGCAGTTGTAGTAATGGAATGGGGTTGTGGTGTAGTGATTTATCCTTTTGTAAATTAAAGCGATGCCAACTTTTCCTGATGGGAGAGCTGTTCCTTTCCCATCAAGCTGCAACACTCTAGAGAGCAGCCCTGCACCTTGCCTGGACAGCCCCAATTGGTGAAGGTGTGAGTGAGCCAGCCCCTAAGTTGTGAGCATGGGAGAGTTGTCCCCATTACTCATCTGTCATGTGGCAGCATGGGCAGCGAAGATACTCTTCCCTACTCCCACCCTCAACCCCACCCCTACCCATCAACAACTGAGGCTGGTGGGAGAGCTGGCCCTGAGGTCATAAGAGCAGGAGAGCTGTCTGTACCACTCACTCAGAGAGTGACCCCTACACCATGCTGGGACAACACAGTAGAGCTGGTCCTGAAGGTGTGTGGGAGAAGAGACTCTGAAGATGTGAATGAAAATGGGAGAACTGGCCCTGCCTCTTGCTCACCCCTTCTAGGAATGAACTAGCCAGGCAATGCTGGAAAGCTCACTCTGGTGGTGAGGCAAGGGAGAACTGGCAGGCTGACGAACCCTGTAACTAACTACCCAGGCCCAGAACCAGGGATATGAGTTAACCTACTCCAACATCCATCCCATCTGTGATCTGCTGAAGCACATGAAGGGACCAGTCCTGTGGACCCAAAGCTGCAGGATTTCCATGACACAGAGCAACCGCAGGATAACTAAGAGGAGTCCTGGTGAGGACCCAGCATTTTAGTTTTACAGTTTTTAGTGTAGCAAAAACCAGAGACCTCGAACCAGACCAATGACTCTTTGCAGTGCACACTTACAAGTAAAATATGAACAAAAGGGTTTACTGTGTGACTTGCTGTGTCACAACTGCAGCTTCCCTACCGAAATTGTTTTTTTCTCTTAAATTTTATTTTATTTCATTTGATGGGGGAGTTGCAAGGGCAGAGGGAAGATACTAAGGGGCAGGGAAATGAATGGGACAGAGATGTGTGATGTGAACGACAAAGCATAGCTAAAAAAGAAAGTTAAAAATAAATTAAGGTCATTTTGAGCACTTTAGAAACATCACTTTTGACTAGGATAAAATGAGAAAGTAATTGTACATTTGTGTATTGTGGAGAGGTGCAGTGAAGAGTAAGTAGGAACCTTGCTATCCACTCAGACAGTTGGACCTAACCTTGTTTCCTCAATAAAACTGCCTCTGTTTAATGTACAAAGCAGAGTTAGAGATTGAAAAGAACAGAGGTGGAAAGACCCTCTTTTGCTAAATTGTTATACATGATATTGATATATAATGAAAGTCTTTAAAAATAATATTAATAGTTTCATAACTCATAGAAAAACTAACTTGTAGATGGAAGTTTCTATCCCTCCTAGTCCCTCAGTTGTTTAGTCCCAAAGAAACACACAGAGGCTTATATTAATTATAAACTGTTTGGCTCAGGCTTACTGTTAGCTAGCTTTTACAACTTAAATTAACCAACCCATAATTCTTATCTAAGTTTAGCCACGTGGCTTGGTACCTTTTCTCAGTGAGGCATTTTCATCTTGCTTCCTCTGCTTTTAGCTTATGATTGTGTCTCTGCTTTTCCTCTTCCCAGAATTTTCCTAGTTTGGTCGTCGAGCATATACTTCCTGCCTGGCTAATGGCCAATCAGTGTTTTATTAAAACAATGAGTGACAAATCTTTAAAGTGTACAAGAACATTATTCCACAGCATTAACTAACCATCCATAGGGGAAAAATTACCTTAATAAAAATCAAAACCAGGGTAGTATGTTTCAGTGGACAACAGTTAAACCCTGGGCTAGTGAAAAGGACATTTGACTAGAGGTTGGAACTTGTAATCAAATTTTCCCTTATTCCTTTAATGTTCTTAAGCCAGATTTCCTAACCTGGGTCTTCATGTCTTTGTTAAAGAGTTGTACTGAGTAATTTCTAATGAGTTTTAGATCTGTTTACACAGATCGTGAAGTTATGTTATAAGTTACAGGGATTTAATTTATCTTTTAAATGATTTTTGTTAAAATATATAGAGATTGATTCTTTTTTCCTCTTATATTTCAGATTTGGGATTTAGCTGATACAGATGGCAAAGGTGTCCTGAGCAAACAAGTAAGATTGAGAGATTCATCTAAATTTTTTGTGGGTTTAGTCCAATTTGAAGTAAAAAGTAGCAGATTTTTTTTATGTTTAAGCTTAAAATTAGTTTTTCAAGATCATGTATATTAACATTGAAAATATTTTTAACTACTGAACATTTAGCTATCTGAATGCTAAAGTTTAGTAACATTGTTTTACTGAAGCTTTTATATAATACCTGTATCTCTTACAGACAGACTTTGTTCTTAGTATCTTATTAATTAAATTTCTTGAGTATACAAGGTCATATGTTAAACATTGATTTTATTAGTAAGTGTTATTGTGGATAAGCCCAGACCTTTGAAAGGAATCTTGGGCTAATCAAACCTAAATTCTTGTGTAGGTTTATTTCTTACATGTCAACTAAAAAGTGGTGCACAGGATGGAAGTACACTCTATAAATATGTGAAAGTGTTTATTGCCGAAGGTATTAAATACCATGTATATACTTTAATGTTTGGTTTGTTGGAAGTTTGCTATCCTCATTCTCTTGTTTAGCACTACTGTGTAAAGTTCATTTTCCTTATGAGCATAGCTAAAACAAGGTCAAAAACAGAAAAGGAATGAGAATAATAAATAATGATAGAATCAAAATACCCAGCCTCTTTTATAGGAAAATTATGTGTATGGTTGTTTTGCCTGCAGGCATGTGCATGTTTGTGTACCACATGTGTGCCTGGTGCTTGCAGGGGTCAGAAGAGGGTTTTGGATCCCCTGGAACTGGACCTACAGGCAGTTGTAAACTGCATGTGAGTGCTAGGAATCAAACCAATGTACTCCGAAGAGCAGCCAGTGCTTTGAATGACTGTGTCATCGCTCTTGAATACCCAGCCTCTTAATTAGAATTTTAGGACTAGATTGTTAATAGTCCTCATTGGAGGTTCTGGGTAGAAGGGCCAGTTCAAGTCACTGAAGACAGGGGCCCTCTGGTATGGTCCCCTCAGTTAGCAAGTGTTTGTTAAGAGCCAGACTTTAGAAGTGCAGAGATGAATGTGACAGGTGTAGTTCCTCTTCGGAAATTTGTAGTATAGTAACTTCTTCACTGGTAGTGCTGGATATTGGATCAGTTTGAGTTGTCTTTGCTGCATACAGGCTGCTAGATATCTGGGTTTGCCATTGAAGTTTGAGTGTATATTGAAGGCAGTGTTTTGTTCTGGCTTTTTGAAGAAAGATTTGTGTTGACTCAATGGTTACAGAAATTTCAGCTCAGTTGTTTGGTTGCATTGTTTCTGGATCTGTGATGAAGCAGAACTTCAAAGCAGTGAGGCATGCTGCTTTGCCTCATGCAAAAGCTTGATCACCTCCCTGCTGCTGAGAAAGAAGAGAACTGCTTGGGGTTCCAGTATCTCCTTCAAGGGCTCACCCTCAATAACCTACATAGGCCCTACCTCCTAAAGTTTCTTCACCTCCTGGTAACACCGTCAAGTACTATGCCCTTAATATATGAGCTTGATGTGTTTATGGGGTTGGGGTGGAGAATTGAAAACCCAGACTATAGCAGAGGCTTAAAAAACTGTGTGTTTAATATGTGTGTATGTTCATGTATATGTGCTTGGGTGCACATGTGGAGATGAGAGGACAATATCAGTGTCGGCCTTCACTTTCCACCTTGGTTGAGGCAGGATTTCTTTGTAGTTTTTCAGCTGCATATGCCAGGCTAGCTGACCCATGAGCTTCCGTGGATCCCCTTCCCCACCTCTGATTTAGCCATAGCATGCTAGGATTACAAATGTGTACTACTACATCCAGCTTTATGTGTGTTTTGAGGATTTGAACTTCAGTTCTCTTGCATGCTAAGTATTTTATCCACTGAACCATCTTCCCCAGCCCAAAGATAATGCTGCACTGAGAGTCTGTGTGATAAAAATAACCCTTGGTGCTATCCACCTACAGAAGTTTTATTTCATTGCTCCTAATACATTGCAAGGTAAATAGTATTAGATTATCCTCCTTTTAGGAAAGAATTTTACTTAAATTGCCTGTGGCATCGCAGTTTTAAGTTAAGAGCTAGAATTTAATGAATTATTTTACTTCAGAGCTCATCTACAGTGTGAAAATGGATCTGATTCTTTAAGAGTAGTTGAAGAGCGGCTGGAGAGATGGGTCAGAGGTTAAGAGCACTGGCTGCTTTCCCAGAGGTCCTGAGTTCAATTCCCAGCAACTACGTTATAGCTCACAACCATCTATAATGAGATCTGGTGCCTTCTTCTGGCATGAAGGCATATGCAGGCAGAACACTGTATTATATGAAATAAATAAAAAAATAAATAAATCTTGGGTTTTTTTTGTTTTTTAAAAAATATTTATTTATTTATTATGTATACAATATTCTGTCTGTGTGTATGCCTGCAGGCCAGAAGAGGGCACCAGACCCCATTACAGATGGTTGTGAGCCACCATGTGGTTGCTGGGAATTGAACTCAGGACCTTTGGAAGAGCAGGCAATGCTCTTAACCTCTGAGCCATCTCTCCAGCCCTCCCTTTTTTTAAAAAAAATATTTATTTATTTATTTATTTATTTATTTATTTATTTATTATGTATTCAAATCTTGTTTTTAAAAAAGTAGTTGAGGAATACAAGCAGTTGAAAGCTTAGTGGAGCAAACAAAACTTTAGCAGAAGAGGCATCGGAAGTCATTGGAAAAGTAGGATTGCTTTATGATACAGTGAGGGATGAAGAAGAGCTTTGAAGCATCGTTTTTTTGCCTGATCTAAGAAAGTTGAGAAGGATGAAGAAGCTCGGAGATTATTTGTGACAGACTAACTGTGAGAGTTGAAGTCTTATGACACAGAAACTTCTTAGGTAAATGAGGAAAAAGGAGAAAGAGTGAGACAGAATGAGTGAGACAGGGAGATAGTGAAAGAGTATGAGACACAGAGAAAGGGAGAGAACAAGACACACAGAGCGTGAGAGAGAGCTGTGTGTGTCGCTAGAGATGAAAACAAGGATCTCTCATGTATGTGAGACAAATACTTTACCATTAAGTTACATTTCCAGTCCCAAAGGAAGTCTCTTGAAAAACTGCAAGAGACAAGTATTGAATAAAGCAGATAGCTTGCAAGGTAAGAAAGGGTAAAAGAATAAGAAGGTGAGAATGGGGCATGGTTAGAGTGAACTGTTGAATCAGTAACAGTCCTGGGATGTTGAAAAACTAGAAAAAAATACTATTGGAACAAAACACCATTCTTGTGTCTATTTTCAAGCCTATCTGAGAACAACTGAAAACAAATAAATTGAGCTTCTTTACATGTGTTTACTTACTTAATTAGGTTTAATTAAGACTTTAAGTACAAGGACCTTTGTGGAAGATTTTTAATTTTTGTGTTTGTTTGCTTCTCAAGACAGGGTTTCTCTGTGTATCCCTGGCTGTCCTGGAACTTGCTCTGTACACCAAGCTGGCCTCAAACTCAGAGATCTTCTGCCTCTGAGCGCTGGGATTAAAGGTGTATGGCACTGCACCTGGGCGATTTGTAAATATCTTTAAGTCAAGCAGTTAAAATTGTTTTAGGTGCTTGTTTTCCAAGCTCCTCTGGAATAGCAGTGATTAACTCTTGTACTACTGATCTAATTTCAAAATTACATGTCCATTTCAGAGATGGCTTTTGGTAACAATTATCATCTCACTTTAGGCCCCCTTACCCAAAGGCCTTTCAGTTAACAGCCAATATTTTTTAGTAAAATTGAATATTCTTTAAAATGTGAATATTCTGTACAGTTTCCACTTTCATATACCATGGTTTATTTATTTTTATTAAAATTATTTTTTTGCTAGTAATGTTAGAAAAATCATTATACATGTTTCTTTTCTCAATTTTAAAGCAATTTTTTAAAGCAAATGTTTTTGAAGCAAATATACTGTTATATTTGTTGGTACATAATACTGTGGAATGATTGTGCATTTTATATTTTCAGATCATAATGTAGGTATAAAACAAGGTAGATTGGAAAAAAAAGCACCTAACATTTATGCTTTTCTTTGTCAGGAATTCTTTATTGCTTTGCGACTTGTGGCATGTGCCCAGAACGGACTGGAAGTTTCCCTGAGCAGCTTGAATCTGGCTGTTCCTCCACCAAGATTTGTAAGAAATGATTTTATATGTAAAGTTTATTTAATTAGAAAGATTAGGGCTGGGAAGATGGTTCATTGGGTAAAGTGCTTGCCCCTGTAAGCATGAGAACTAAAGTTCAGATCACTAGTACCCATGTTAAAGGCTGGCTAGGCACAGTGACCTGCCTGTGATCCCAGAATTCAGGAGCTGAGATGGGAGGCATAGCTTGCACTGAACTAGTGGAATCAGTGAGCTCTGAGTCAAGTGAGAGATCCTACCTACAGAAACACACACAGACACAAATTACAGTCATACTTACCAGAAAATTACACCACATGGTTTGAAATAAAAAGTAACATACTCACTCTTTCTGTTTTAATCCCTATCACTTAGCTACCTGGCTTTCTTTCTTAGTAACTACTGCTATTACTAGTTATGTGTATGTCCTTCAGAGTTATATGTGCATATAAAAATACAAATATGTATTTCTTAATTTTCTAATGGTGGCATTCTATGTATTCGACTCCATACGATTTAAAACGAATATGTTTTAGAGATGTAACATAAGCTTTATTTAGTGTTTGCATGGTATTTCTTTGTTTATGTTTATTATAGTTTATATAAATTCCAATATAGGTATGCAGTTTTTTTAAGGAAAAATGCTGTGACAGATATTAATTTTGTTTATGACGTATGCAGGAATGTAGTTGTAACATCTCAAAAGTGAAATTGTCTTTAAGAGTTTTTGTATGTATTTTACTTTTACCAGCAATTGGTTGGCATGTCAGCTTCCTTGTGCTTTTGCTCACATGCTGTTGTCAGATTATAGATCCTTGTCAGCTTGGTGGCAAATGGTATGTTAGTGTCTAGATTTCTCTTTTTAGCTTATAGGTAAGATTGATTAGTTTTTAAGGCACTGAATGGTTTTTATTCTGCTATGGGAATGTCTAATTCTAGACTGCGATTCTTTTTCTTGAGTGATTATTCTTTTTCTTACTGAATTCTAGAGTTTCTTTAACAATTAGCAAGTTAAATCTCTATCCATATCATTTGCAAATACACTCTTTCAATTTGTTATTTATCTTTTACTGGATTGTGTTTTTACCCCCATCATGAAATTATTTTATATAAACAAATTGCAAAGCGAAAACTTATTTTTTTTCTTTTTGTATATTTGTTATTTCTTTTGGAAATGTGAGTGTGGATTCAAATTCATTCTATCATGATAGCTACAATATAAAATACAGTGTATTGAATAATCATTCTTTTTCATACCAATTTCAAATGCCACATCAGCGATGACCTAAATTGCCATATGCATTTTGATGTCTTTCTGGATTTTCCTGTTCTTATTCATTGATTTGTTTATCTGTGTGACAATTTTGCAGTGTTTTGATTATCATTGTTTGGGAAATGTCTTTGTATACTATATAGCTTATCAACTCCACCCCCAGCTTTTTCAGAAATTTAATGGCTGTTGTTTTAATTTTGAATTTAATTTTGGTGCTGCTGGAGCTAAACCCAGGGCCTTGCTCTTCCTGGACAAATGTTTTATCACTGAGGTATCCCCAACCCTTCTTCTTTAAAACTTAATATTTGTTGGTACATAATACTGTGGAATAATTGTGCATTTTATATTTTCAGATCATAAAGTAGGTATAAAACAAGGTAGATTGGAAGAAAAGCACCTACCATTTATGCTTTACCAGTACCCACATGGTAGCTTACAACTGTCTGTAGCTCAAGTTACGGGGGTCCAACACACTTTTCTGGTCTGCATGGGCACCAGGCATGTACACGGTACACAGATAAGTTCAGGCAAAATACCCACACATAAAATAAAGTAATAAAGTTAAAAAAAATTAACTTCAGTTTAAGAATGTCTATATTTCTCTGTTTAGACGTGACTTACAAGGGTTGTCATAAGTATTTGTTGCCTAGGTATAATACTGAGATTTTTCAAATATATTTACATGTCTCTTGAGCCAGATAAAATAATAACTTAAATATGCTGCCATTAGGTATTGTGCCAGTAAGTTTATTTTTGGGGTCTACTTTTCTTAATTAATATTGGGAAAAAGGTTTTATTTCAGTAAGCAATAGATGAAGGTCTAATTAAAGTAAAGTAGTGTTGATACTCAGCATTTTGCACAAATGCATTTAAATGGAAAAGCACATTTTCTTCATTGGCTATTGGTATGAGGACTTAGTTCATGTTCTCTTCATTTCCTAGCATGACTCCAGTAGTCCTTTGCTGACCAGTGGGACTTCAGCAGCTGAGCTCCCTTGGGCTGTAAAGGTAAATAAGTTTCTTGCATCTCTTTTTCTTTCTACTTTAAATGCTTTCCTCCCTTGTCCTCAAAATACATTGCTCTGCATTGGACTTTTCATATACATTTTCAAAAGTATAGGGAAAACACTGAGATGGAAAATGTTGAGTAGTACCTTAGCTCTGTTAGTCATTTTGTGACAATTTTTAAAAACATTTTATTTCTTTGAATTGAAAGTTGGGATGTCACTGCCAATGTCTTCTGAGAAAAGTTCTTTCTTGCTGTAGGTCTGGTTGAGTGGACCAAGTGCTCCTCACAGCATTCTCTCTCTAAAATTGTGTGAGTCTAACCTGACAGTAGAAAAACAAAGATGGTCTTCCAACTAGTCCTTAGCATAGACACTTTGAAATTATTTAATCCATTTTGATAAAAATGGTTTTTAAAAATGTTTTCTTAAAAGTCTGTTATTTAAATATTTCATTCTTATATATGCAATTAAATCCTTTTCATGATTGTTTAACTTGTCATCTTTTTTTTTTCATATTGTAGTCTGAAGACAAAGCCAAATATGATGTAATTTTTGATAGTTTAAGCCCAGTGGATGGATTTTTGTCTGGTGATAAAGTGAAACCAGTATTGCTCAACTCTAAGTTACCTGTGGAAATCCTTGGAAGAGTAAGATAGCAAACTTTAAATGTAATTTGTTTGTTTGTTTGTTTTGAGATAGTCTTAATGTGCAGCTCAGGCTGACTGTTCTGGAGCTCACGGACCTGAACCTCATGAGTGCTGGAATCATAGTATTGTGCTCGATGCAGTTATTATATATTTTAATTTTACACATAACAGGAGCACTAATAACTAATAACAATATGATAACAGTAATACAATAAAAGATATACAGACCTTTTAAAAGTTGTGTTAATACAAGATTTTCTATATTTTTAACATGTATATTATTGTCACATTTCTGGTTTTAGTTTTCCCTGTAAAATATGAATAGTTGGTATAGTTACATATGTATACTTGAATGATCTAGTTGACGAATTTTCTGTGTGTGCTTGCACATGTGTATACACGTGGGAGCCTCAGGTGTTGCTCTTTAGGAACTGTTGTTGTGTTTCCTTACCTTATTTTTTGTTTTGTTTTGTTTTGTTTTTGAGGCATGTTCTTTCCTTATCCTGGAGCTCTGCCACTCGGGCCTGGGGGTTACAGTCAACACCTAGACGAAGCCTCTATGTGGGTGCTGGGAACTGAACTTGGGGGCTCTGAAAGAGCAACAAATGCATTTAATTGCTAAGCCATCTCTCCAGCTCTCACACCAACCTTTTTATGTGGGTCTGGGATTTAAACTAAGGCCCTCATGCTTGCATGGGAATTACTTTATTATTAACTGAATTACCTCCCCTGCCCATGTAGTTCACGTGTTAAATATGCAGTTCAGTAATGTTAAGTATAGTGACATTTCCGTACAGCCACCATCACTATCATCTCCATGGCTTTTTTCAACTGGTAAGATCAAAGCTCTATCTTGGTATCTTCAGAAATTATTTTTTCTTTATTTAATTTTATGTGTTTGTCCTTAGTTCCATACCTTTATTCTTAGCTCTTTTTCTCCATTGTTCTTCAATATCTCCTCTGATGAAATCATAGATTCTAACTTGAATATCCTGCTCTTATATAGATCTTTTTCCATTTAGGAAAATTTTCTAATTTTCCTATTAATTCTTTGACTTTGTTAATAAGTGTTTGATTTTACTAAAAAGTCAATTTTGCATTTGCTAATTATTTGCCTCTTTTTTGTTGCATACAGTCTTTTGAGAAATGCTAAAATAAGTTCATGATCACTAGTTTTGTCTGGGTTTCTCCCTATTCCTTGCCACTTTTGTGCTCTTTCCAAAGTAATTTCTTTTCTTTATTTGATGTTTTAAACCATAACCACTCTCTCTAAGCCCTCAGCTCTTGTGTCAAATCTTGCCTTCCCTGCTTTTTTAAGTAACTTTGGGAAAGTCTTTAGAAAAATTGTGTGTTGGTTTTCAAATCTTTAAATTGGGTATAATTTTCAGTTGATAAACTTCCAAGGAGTAAATGTGATAGTGTAAGTACTTAATACAGTGCATGTTACAAACTCTGTTAGAGAATGTTAGATGCTATAGTGGTCATGGTGGTGACTACCATCACACTGCCAGAAATACTGTGCTGCTGCTGCCCCTGGGTCAGTAAGTCCTCCCTTCCTCCCCTTTTCTTTCTCTTTTTCTTTTCTTTCTTCTTTCTTTCTTTCTTTCTTTCTTTCTTTCTTTCTTTCTTTTTTTTTTTTTGAGACAGGGTTTCTCTGTGTAGCCCAGGCTAGCCTGGACCTCTTTGTAGACCAGGCTAACCTTGAACTCAGATCTGCCATGCCTGGAAAACACTGATTTTTTTTTAAATACTTTTTTCTAGTATTATTTACATTCTTTTTTTCTGTTGTGTGGTCAGTGTGAGATTCCTAAACTTTGAATATTATTATTTTATTTCTTTAAACTAACCTTTTAGCAACTTCTCATTGCAATTAAGACAAAGTTCAGATCTTTTTAAGGCACGTAATGACTAGGCACTCTCATATTCCACTAGTATACTTTCTTTTCCTGTCCCTAAGTAGAACATAAAATAAAAGAGCACTAATTGTTCTTCTCTTTTTCAAGGTTTGGGAGTTGAGCGATATTGACCATGATGGAAAGCTTGACAGAGATGAATTTGCAGTTGTAAGTAACCAAATGTTCTTAAAATGTAAAGGGTCTTCATTTTACCTCCCACCCGTACCTTCCACCATTTGATTAAAACAGGGCTTGAACTTACAAGCTTCCTACCCCAGACTCTGAGTTTTTTAAATTAAAATGTGTGCCACCTGCCCCGGGAAGCATTTCTTATTTTAATTTATCCTTAGTAATATGCCCATCAGATTGTAGTTATTAATCTCTTTAGGATTTATAGGTAAATACATATTTTTAATGAAAAAGAGGATGTGTATGTTTTACTGTCATTTTTTTTGTACGTCATTTTCTGTACTTAGGAAAGATACTTGATTAATATACTGTAAAGGTGATGGTGTGGCTATTTTGGGGGGTCTTAAATTACTTCAGTCTTCTTAAATTACTTCAATTTTGTTTCAACTATATCTCTCCTTATTTTTTTAAAAGGAAACATGAACAACAATTTGGTTTCATTTTAACTGATGGGGCAGGAACATTTTGGCATCTTCCCTTATTTTAAAGATCTTTCTATTTTAGTAGTTAGGTAGTTGATGTCAGATATCGTATTTATTGCTCCCTTAAAGTTAGATGAAACTTTAATAGGCGTTGGGAAGTGGTTCAGTTGTTAAAAGTGCTTGCAGTTCAAGCTCATGAACTCATGTGCACCTGAGTTCAATCTCCAGACCCTAAAGAAAAGGGTTGGTGGTGAGTGCTTATCATCCCGGTGCTGGCAAAGCAGAGATAGGATACTCCTGAATCAACAAGTTTCCGGGTACAGTGAGAGACCCTGGCTCAGAAAATAAGATGGAAAGTAATTGAGGAAGACCAACATCAACCTCTGATTTGTACACACCCATACACACGTGTGCACACACATACATAATCTGCTGTGAATTTACCTGGGATAAATTGGTAATCTCTTGTGTACTTGGATGTTAGTCTTGGATGTTAAATTTTCTACCTCTAAAGAATTTTTCTAAAGAATTGTTTGGGTTTTTTTTTTTCGTGTGTGTGTGTGTGTGTGTGTGTGTGTGTGTGTGTACATGCGTATATGCCTACAGAGAGCAGAGATCTCAGATCTCCCTGAAGCTGGTGCTATAGTTAGTTGTGAGCCACTTTATGGGTGCTGTGGACTGAAGTCAGGTCCTCTGTAAGAGCAGTGCAAGCTCTTAATTGCTGAACCATCTCTCCAGCTCAATTGCTTGTTTTTTTGTGTTTTTTTTTTTTAGGCTTGTTCCCATGAACTTGTATTTTTGAAAATCTTTTTATGCCTGAGGTTATCCTCTTTTCTCATTTTGAATCTTCCATATTTATGCTCATAGTCCTTTTTATTACTTTGGTTCAATCTATCATTAGGTCAGTGATATTTCAAAACAATCATTCTTTAAGATTATCCTTTTGTGTTTCATATTTTAAATTTCCATCTAATTCAGCTTTTATCTTGATTTATTCCCACTTTCAAAAACCTTTTCTAAAGTTTATTTGTGTATATGGGCAGAGGTGACATGCCATGAGTGTGGAGGTTAAAGGATTACATCAGTGTCTGTTCTCTTTTTCTGCCTTTAAGATTGCCAGATTTCACAGCTAGTGTCTTGAGCATTTGAGTCATCTCACTGCTCTAACCCCGCCCCCCCTTTTTTTGTAACTGTCTGGTTAGCCCAGTCAGGTCTTACATTCACTATATATCCAAGGATGACCTTTGTCAAATTTAGAAACCTACATTGGTCAATTACTTTTAAACTCCACATTTTCTTTTGATTTCACCATCTAAAGCTTTCTGGTCCAAGATCTGCTCTTTAGTATTCTACTGCATTTAGTTGCTGTGTCTTTTCAGTCTCTTGAATCTTTGGCAGTTTGTCACTTTTGTCTTTTTTTTATGACCTTGACTTTTTTCTTTTAAAGGAGTACTGGCCTAATAACATGTAGAATATTTTCCAGTTTAGATTTGTCTAGAGGCAAAATGAATTTATTCAAGTATCAGGGATATATTCTGTCATGGGGATTGGTTAAGATAGCACTTGCAAGATTTCTTCCCAGAAAAGTAACTTAAGTTTTTCTCTCTTTTTTTTTTTTGTTTCTGTAAAGTGAAGGTGACAGCATTTTTACTTGACTGCCTTTGTGTCATTTTTTCTCTTCTTCTTTCCAAGTGTTAATGTTTTCTGTCACTAGTATTTATTGGGTTCTTATTTTGTGAGGAACATGTGGCACTAGAAGATGTAAGAGGGAGCTATGCTTGTATATGCTAGTATGTATCACAGACTTTTTGTTGTTGTTTGTCAGGACAGGGTTTTTCTATGTAACAGCTCTGACTGTCCTGGAACTTTCTCTGTAGACCAGGTTGGCCTCTGCCTCCTGAGTGCAGTCACTGCTATCCATCTCATCACACACTCGTTATTAGCGTGTGTGTGTGTCTGTGTGTGTTTGTGTGTGTGTTTCTTTGAATTGAACACAGCGTACTCCATATGCTAAGCAGGTGCTCTGCTGCTGAGCTACACCTCAAGCCCTGAAATTAACTTTTGCTCATGTGCTACTCTCTTGTGTTATGAAAGTGAAGGGTATTTTTCCTTTTGTGTTTTTAGCCTGGTGGTCAGACATTTTTCAGTAAATGTTCCATTAAACTAAAGTGGCGAAGGAAATTTATTTACTTGGAAAACACAAAAAGTGTTTTCATCCCTTATGGCAGTTGTGGTTGCCACCTGCTTCAATAGGTCAGTGAGCAAGTAAAACTTTAAGGAAACTCTTAAAAGTATAGTTGCCCATCAGTAATACCCTTGGACTAAACCTCCAGCCAGAGCTGGTCAGGCTCTGTATTTTAAAAGGCCTTCAGAGCCCACGGTGCTCCTTAATCCCAGCACTCCAGAGGCAGTGGTAGGTAGATCTGTGTGAGTTTGAGGCCAGCGTGGTCTACAGAGCCTGGACAGCCAGAGCTACACAGAAACTTGGTCTTGAAAAACAAGAAACAAAACAAAGCAAGCCCCTCAAGTTGATCTGACATCCACTGAAAGTTAATGTTGCTTAAAACACAAAGAGAAAAACACTCTGAAAGAAAGTCAGTTGATAGTAATCCCAACTGAATTGTTTCTTTCCATGGCACTCTGTGTTAAGTTTAGGTCTGTTTGCGGTGATTTTATTTTTAAAAAAGAAGTATCCTAAAAGCATTTTACTTTAGCGTCTCTCTATGTAACTGTATTCATACTCACCTAGAATATACCAGCTTGAAAGCTAACATTTCTCCCCCCCACACACACACATGCATACATAGGGCAGGTGGGGTTGAGAGGGCATCATTTGATCTGGTTGCTGTTTTTGTTTCAGTTATAGACTTTGTATAGGATAAGGTACACTATAATAAGAAAACAAGTCATAGTCTAGCAGTACTGAAATTACTCTGCTCACTTTTGATATTATATTTAGTGAACAAAATTTGGCATTGGTTTTCTTGGGGAAACTATTTTCAAGACACATGAAATTAAGAACTTTAACTTTCAGAAAAAAAAATGTGTTGTCTCTTGAAGCAGATGGCAAGCATTGCTTTTGTTGTTCAGTTTCCACTTTTCCAGGAAATGACTTCCATCTGCAGCAAGAAAAATGCTGACCTTAAATGCTTGCGGGTAACTTGTCGCATGCAAAGTGCCAATCTGATACTACACACATTGTCAGCTTGTCTGAAAAGGATGTGTTAGGCAGATAGTTTTCTTTTTGGAGCTTCAGGTTTTTGGAGACATAGTGTTCATTTGTTTTAAAGCTGACACTGAATTCTTGTTAGTTGGCTCATCTCTGGAAAAGACTTGGTTTGGGTCAAGTGGTTAGGTGCTACCCTGGATACACAGCACCAGAATCACCGGAAACTTGTTAGAAATGCAGATTCTTTGGCCCAGTTCCAGCTTTACTGAGTTCAGCGTTCCAATTATAAAGCTACTAAGCCATCCAGGCAGTTCTGGTGCCCGCTATAATCTGGGTCCATGGATCAGGTATAGTTTTCTAATTGTAAAGGAAAGGGTGGCAGTGTGAATTATTATACAGGTGCTGTTAATGCTGATTAAAACATGATCAATCAAGAATGCTATAACTAAGATGGCCTGGTTTGTATCATATATATTTATATATGTATATAAACATTAAAAAAATTATTTTTTAAGACAGACTAGTATAACCTGGACTGGCCTCAAACTCAATCCTTTGCTCCCCAGTTTTGAGTACTGGGGTTATAGGAATGTGAAATGATGCTTGGTTTAGTATATACTGTAGCCTATGAATTTTTTACAATATTGCATTAGGCAAGATAGCATCTCTGGACCTCTGTTTCTTGATTTATAAAATATTAGCCATTATAGAAATTATGGATCACGTTTGTATTCTGTACTCAGTGAATATTGATTTGAAAACAGCTCAAACTTAGGAGTTAAGATAGGAGCTTAAAGCAAGTTTACTTTTGAGAGTTAGGATTTTCTTTCTTCATTCTTGTCTTTTCTGGTTGCTAGGTTTTTTGTTTGTTTGCTGCTTTGCCTTGTTTTGTTTTGTTTGAGATAGGCTTGCTCTATATAACAGTTCTGAGGTCCTGGAACTCACTCCGAAGATCAGCTAGCTCTGAACTCTGAGATCCACCTGCCTCTGCTTTCTAAGTACTGGGATTAAAGGTATACATTACCACCACCCAGCTGAGTTATGATTTTCAATGGAAGAAAGTCAAGAAATAATGTGCATTCTCTCTTAGTTGCCACCAGAATCCCTTTAGAGTGCCCACTTAATTTTGAGTGATTTTATATGATTAAAGATATTGTCTGGTTTTCTTTTATTGTATAATTTTCCATTTTTTGACTAAAATTAATTATTTGTTTATTTTGGGGAGTACATAGAGAAAAATTTTCTTTTTTTAAGCCATAGAAGCTTCATCTTCTGAAAATTTGAATAGTACTTTACCACCTTTAAGATGGAGACACTATATTATTTTATACAAGTTATAACACAAACATTTTTAAGTTTTTTTAAAAGACTAATAAAGTGGATAGGTTATATCCTGGCATGTTCTGTAGGTAAATTGTTTCCTTTTTATATACATGCTTTAAATATTTATTAATTTAAAAGATTTTAAAATAGGTAATATATTCTAATGGTTCAAAATTAATAAAAGAAGATAGTGAGAAAGATCCATCCCTGCCTTCCATTAATGAACTTCGTCTTCTCTATTCAACTACTTTTCTTAGTTTCTGGTTTATTCTCCTTGAATTTCTTGGTCCAAATGTATACAAATAGTGAATAATTATTTCCTCTTTAGCATAAAAAGATAATATACTATGCACACATACTGTGGAGGTGTATGTTCAGTATTGTACTTTTTAATATTTAGCAGTGTACTTTAGATTCTTAGGCTTATTTTCTCATAGAATACTTGGTGATTATTTTCCCCTGGTATATTGTTTTGGAGGCCATATATAATGGATTGCTTCCAATTTAAGTTATAATTGGATCAGTTTTGGAAATTATATATACCACAATGCTTTAAATATACCAAAATGTTTTTTTTATTGTTTCATCATTTTTCATGATATAGGTTACCATAATTTTTAAGTTAGTCTCTTATTGATGGACAGTTGGGTACTGATGCAGACAGTTTGTGTGGTTAATAATCTTTTTCATGTAGCATTTCATGTGTAGGCAAATAAATGTAAACACATGTTCTCAGATGTCATATGGCTGAGCTAAAGGGAAGAATCCATTTGCAATTTGGTGGCCATTTGCCCTTCATATATCATAAGGATAGTGCTGATTTGTGTTCTGTGGAGGAGAAATTTGTATATACCTGGTAGACAATTTAGGGAAAGAAAAACTTCAAGAAGTGGCTTAGAGCTCAAGCTATTACAGTGTCTTCAGCATACATAAAGATTTAGGTAAGTAACAAGACAAAGAAAAAGGACCTTTGGTCACTGGAGGCCACAAATTATGGCAGGGTGGATAGATGAGTAGTTGATAGTAAAGGCTAGCAGTAGTGCCTCTTATGTAAGCGCTGCCAGTGAACCATCTCCACGCTGTATGAAGTTAGATGAGGCTGTGGCTCATACCTGTAACCCCAGCACTTGAGAACTGAGGTCAGATGATTTAAGACAAAGTTATCTCGTGTCTGTTACCCACTTGCCCTCTGCCCCAAATAATCCTGCAAAATGGAATCTGTTACCCATCAGTGCCCATTGGTAATGTCTGACAGTGCCTCTTTCCCCACAATTTAGTTGCCAAGTACATTGTGGAACTTAGGATTCTTGCCACCTAGACAAAATGTTAACCCCCCCCCCCTTTTTTGAGACAGGATTTCTCTGTAGCTTTGGAGCCTGTCCTGGAAGGTCTTATAGACCAGGCTGGCCTTGGACTCACAGAGATCCACCTACCTCTGCCTCCCAAGTGCTGAGATTAAAGGCAGTGTACACCACTGCCCGGCAACTCACTATAATATTAACCTCTAGTTTTAGTTTTAAGAGTGAAATTAAGCATGATTTTTATATACTAAAGGATGGGCCCTTTGTGGTGTCCCTCCTCCTTTTTTTTTTTTTTGTAAATTGTCTGTTCATAGTTTTTGTTCATCTTTCATTGAAATTAAATTATTAATTTCTAGGAAAATTTTGTATATTAGATTATTTCTTTATAGATAGCATTTTTACTTCAAATTCTCATTCTTTGCTGTTACAAGAACTTCAATTGAAGAATGTGCCTCTAAGTTTTTATGACTGAGTATTTCTTCTTAAGAATGTTTTAGCCTTGAGTTCTTTTCTTCCTCTTTCCTTTTGTTTCTTCCTCTTTTTCTCCTATTTTTGTTCTTAATTTTACTTTTTAAAAAGATTTGAAAAGCCAGGCCATGGTGAGTGAATTTTTTGAAAACTTAAAAATATATCGGATTCTGTTTTGTTTATCTTCAAGGCCATGTTTTTGGTATACTGTGCACTGGAGAAAGAACCTGTGCCAATGTCCTTGCCTCCAGCCTTGGTGCCACCTTCTAAGAGAAAAACGGTCAGTATATCAGGCTCCATGTGGTTGATCCCCTCTTCAGCAGCCAAGGAATCTTACCACTCCTTACCACCTGTAGGCATTTTACCTACCAAAGCACCGTTAAGACAGGTAGAAAAATTTGTCAATGTTAAAGGATTTTACTTTAACAAAGTGCATGAATGTGATTGGTAAAATTAGAAGGAACAAAGATGCTGCACTTGCTCTAGTTGAGCCTGCATAACGTGATGCCGCAGAGGAGGCAGATGCTCCTTATGTCCTATGGGTGTTTGACTGATATATAGAGATTAAAGATAGAGATAGACGATACTGTGTGCTAATATGCATGCTCTCCCTGTCATAGTAATCATTTTTAATCTGTAGTTAACTCTTGATTCTTTAGATCACGTTACTAATTCTGATCGATTCTTACTTCCTTTGACCTATCTTTGGTCAGGTTGTGTAATAGCAACTATAATGATAGCCTGTACAAGCTCAGATCTGGGCAAGAATGCTGCATGCATAGAAAATGAAGCTTGGGGAGTATCTTTATTTGTTTATGCAGGCTTTCCCAGATACCACTGTTAGAATGGGAATTTATAGGTCAGGGCTTAATTGTGCTTGAGTTAACTGGTTTCAAAAAAAAAAAGTGTTAAATTGGCACCTGTAAATGTCCTAAATGTTGTGTAATTTTATTGCCTTCTCTTCATATTTTTTGGTTGTGATGTTTGGGAATCAGTGCACTGACATCAAGTTATTTGGGTATATTTATTCAGATTGGTGACAGATATACTTATGGTTTGAAGAAATATTATTTCAAAGTTGGTTTCGTTTTAATAGACACTTCTCTTCCCTCTCCAGTGGGTTGTATCCCCTGCAGAAAAGGCTAAATATGATGAAATCTTCCTGAAAACGGATAAGGATATGGATGGATATGTGTCTGGTCAAGAAGTCCGTGAAACCTTCCTGAAAACAGGTTTACCTTCTGCCTTACTAGCCCACATCTGGTAAGACTTTATTTTAATAGTTTTTAAAAAGTGTGTGTGTGTGTGTGTGTGTGTGTGTGTGTAGTTTTATATCAAATTATATCTAGTATTTATACTTTTTTTCTAGATTTTGAGAACAGGTTAATATTTGTTTCATTTTTATAGAGAAAATTCAAATATGAAAAATTATTGTGTATAATAAAAATTCAGAAGTGGTATTAAAAAATAGGTGGAGCATTTTATTTGTTTATACTAATTAAAAACTCTTAGAATGTTCTTACGAAAATCCAGATATCTGAAGCTTAAGCAGTTTAATAAGTAATACCTTTAGGTGCTGGAGATCTAGCTCAGTTGGTAGAGTTCTTAACTAGCTTGCAGGAGGGCATGGATTTGATCCCTTGTGTTACATGAATTGGGTATGGTGGCATATATCTGCAATCCCAGTACTCGTGGAAGTGCAAGATCAGCCTGGAATAATGAGACCATGTCTAAAAGAAAAAATGGTTTTCATTTTGCTTTACAGCTGAATAGTATTCCATTTTTTTTATATTATACAGATTTTTTTTTTTTTTTTGGTTTTTCAAGACAGGATTTCTCTGTGGCTTTGGAGCCTGTCCTGGAACTAGCTCTTGTAGACCAGGCTGGCCTCAAACTCACAGCGATCCACCTGCCTCTGCCTCCCAAGTGCTGGGATTAAGGGCGTGCACCACCACTGCCCGGCTATATATGCAGATTTTTGTTAGCCATTTATCTTTTGATGGAGATCTGTTGGTATCATTTTGTTTCTATAGAGAATAGAGCAGCAATAAACAGGGATGCAAATATCTTTGCAAGAAAATAGATGTATCATAATGAGGTTACTTGAAAGAAAGAAAAATTCTGTGTGTTCTTTTTGTGAGTCCTTGCCTGTACTTTGCATCTGCAAACAGATACACATATAGGAATAGTAAGTATCACAGGTAGTAGGAGAACAAGAAAGGTGATGAGGAAGGATGGAGTGCAGGTAAAGAATACATGAGTCAGCCGGACGGTGGTGGTGCACGCCTTTAATCACAGCACTTGGGCGGCAGAGGCAGGCAGATCTCTGTGAGTTCGAGGCCAGCCTGGTCTACAAGAGCTAGTTCCAGGGCAGGCTCCAAAGACACAGAAAAATCCTGTCTTGAAAAGCCCCCCCAAAAAAAAAATTAAAAAAATACATGAGTCGTGAAAGAAGATATAAAACTTGTATTTCTAGTTTTAACTCTATCATGGATTTTTTTGTGCATAAACACGTAAGCAAAATTCTATAGCTTCAGAATGGCTGTATATATTCATGATTTGAATATGTTCATTGAGGTGTATAGACTTTTGGTCTAGGCAGTTGCTTGTTTGAATGGCTACGTTAGTCTGTGTGGGGTTTTGTTTGTAACGTTTGTACAAGATAATGGGGTTTTTTAATTAAAAAATAAACAGTGGTGTACATGTCTAATCCTGTAAGATGTATACATTTGTATGACAGTTGTTCATTGGTAATGCATTTCATAGTACATATGATAATGCATATGAAATTGCTTTGTCTTGTTCCTGCCACCACCCTGGCTAACTATGCCAGATGTTATCTTGGGGTTTTTAAGAGGCAACAAACACAAAAAGTTGCAAAGAGAAGCTTAGAAGAGAGCAGAGTATGGTAGGTCTGTCTTAAGAGAGATGAGTATTCAGACTGGAAAAAATTAAGCTTGCGTAGCTGAATCTACAGCCTTTGAGCGCCTAGGCTAAGTACACAGAACAAAGGTAACTGTCACAAATGGGTGTGGTGCTATGCTCAGGCTTTAATCATGCATTACCTTTCTTATGGTACCTCATAAAAGGAGTTTCTTTACTTATAGATGATGAAACTAAGATTGAGACCTCAAAAAATTTTGTTCCAGGTTATAAGGACTTAAGATAAAAGCTGAAATCCACATTCAACTTGATACCGTGTCTTTTTGTCAACTACCCTGATACCCAGTCTTTTTGTCAGACTACACTGACTTTCAGAGAATTAAACATTTAGAAAGCTGAATTTTAAAAAGAAGAAAAAAAGGCAAATAGAATGAAACATTTGTTCTCTCCCTTCAATTGACAGATTTTACTGTATTTTCTGGTAAAATTTATTATTTGACAATTTCATATGTATGTAATATGTTTTGGTCATTCACATACTCCATTACCATCTTGTATCACCATTCCACATTCTGGAGCTCTTCTTTACAATATATCTCTTTTCAACTTTTATGTTTTTGTTTGTTTTCTAATAACCTCCTGAGCTTAATTAGGGTTGCTTGCATATACATGGGTGTAGGATTATTTACTGGATCGTGTGCAACTTGCCAGTGACTACTTCACTGAAGAAAAATGACTTCCCTTCCCCTGCAGCCGTTAACTACCCCAGGCAAGGGTTGGGCCTCTTGTGCTCCCCTCCTAGCCGTTCTGCAGTGCTGATGGGCTCAGCCTTAGCCGGGTGGCCACTGCTGCTGTATTTGTGAATGCAGCAGCTGTGTCATGTTCAGAAGACAGCATTCCCCAGCACCCTTTCTATCTCCTGCTCATACATTCTTTTTACTTTCTCTGAGTGTTGGGATTTTTGTTTTGTTTAGTTTTTCTGACAGCCCTGGCTGTCCAGGATCTTGCTCTATAGACCAGGTTGACCTCGGACTCAGAGATCCACCTGCCTCTGCTTCCCAAGTGCTGGGACTAAAGGTGTGCTTCACTACTGCCTAGTTTCTTTTTTAGCATCTTAATGTGGTCCACCTCTTTAACTTTTTTATGTGAGTTTTCAGCAGCCTGTGATCTGTCTTTTTCAATTCAGCTAATTATTTTTAAAACATTAAAATCATATTTTTTTTTCTCATGGGTTTTGGGAGTAATAATTGTAGCACTTACGTACTGTTCATTTTTTTTATTTGTATAGGGCACTGTGTGACACAAAGAACTGTGGGAAGCTTTCAAAAGACCAGTTTGCCTTGGCTTTTCACTTAATCAATCAAAAGTTAATAAAGGGCATTGATCCTCCGCATATTCTCTCTCCGGAGATGATTCCACCATCAGACAGGTCAAGTTTACAAAAGGTAAGAAAAGTTTAAAGAAGCCTGCATGCCTGATAGAAAAGAACCAATGCTGTGTCTAGTCACAAGTGTGGAGGGTCAGAGCACTCCCTGTTGGTTTAGTGTGTCTGTGAGCATGCTCACAGACCTTATATAGCCCTTATATAGCATCCTTGAACTGCCAACCCCACTATCCATCACACATAAGACTGCTGTACTTTATTATATTAAATTGAAGTTTTTTTTTTTTTTTGAAACAGGGTCTCATATAGCCCAGCCTGGCATTGAATACTGTATAGTTGAGAATTACTTTGAACTTCTGATCCTTTCTTCTTTCTCTTCCCAAATGCTAGGATTATAAGCATGCACCATGGCTAGTCAATTTTTATGAAAAAGGAAGGAAGGAAGGAAGGAAGGAAGGAAGGAAAGAAAGAAAGAAGGAAGGAAATATTAGCTGTAATAATTAAATTGTTACATTTCAATCTTACAGAAAACAATACAAATTTGGAAACAAAATCCATAAGATAGTGATTGCTTAGTATCAATTTTACATCAAAATAGCCTTCATGAAAAGCTGTATGTAGAGGAAAATCTGTATACATTTCTTTGCCATAGGATGAGCGTTCATTCTTAAGTATATATCTGAGCTTCATATCTTAAACATCTAGAAGTTAATTGGGTTTCTGGTCAGCAGTGGAAGTTTTCAAAACATTTTTATTTTAACCATGTTGTACTTTGAAATTTTCTTCCTTGTCTAGAAGCTCTTTTTAATATAGCACATTTACAATATCCTAGTCTATAATAGACCTTTCAAAAGACTTAAATGGTGAGTTTGTTACTTTTCAAACTAAATAACCAGGTGTCGTTTGACCCTGTAGTCTCAGCTCCTGGGAAGGCTTAGGCTAAAGAATTCTTTTTGTTTGTTTGTTTTTGAGACAGGGTTTCTCTGTAGCTTTGGAGCCTTTTCTAGAACTAGCTCTTGTAGACCAGGCTGGCCTCAAACTCACAGAGATGTGCCTACCTCTGCCTCCCGAGTGCCGGGATTAAAGGTGTGCGCCACCACTGCCCGGCTAAAGTATTATTGAATCCAGAAGTTCAAGGCTACCCTGGGCAGTGCAAGGAGACCTCATTTAAAAAAGACCCAAACAAAATAAAACTTCTCACCCAAACTTTCCATCTTTCTCTTCTCACCTGTGTCATAAATACTGCTGTGGTGATATTTGAGGGTTGTCAAATGTGTGTTATTAAGAACTGACTTTCAAGTACCAATAAAATGTTTTGATTTTGCATTAATTTTGTAAGATAGTTAAAAAATTCCATTTTAACCCAACAGAAGTCAAAAATGTACTTTTTCCTCCGAATAAAATAAATGGAATTCACTACTGCCAGGTCCTGAGAATTAGTTATATGAATGAGGTTTTGTACTTTGTGAGTGTTTTTAGACTCTTGTATGTGTGACATGAACTCACTAGGTTGTGGAGCGACTGAAAATGATGCTGCACAGAAAGATGTAGGGTACAGACTTATACCTATGCATTCTGTTCTGTTCTGTATCTCAGCAGTGTAACACTGTAGACATCATTTTTGTAGGGTTGTTATTTCTGCATTTTTAATTTATAATGACTGAAATTTTCACCAACTCTTAATTTCCAAGAGAACATAAATTACTGAATCAATTTTGTTTGTTCATGGAATCTGTATACTAGTAGACACTTGAGGTTGTATCTGTTAACATAGTTTGTAATTAGTAGACTTTTCAGAAGACCATTTACTAGAGCATGCTAAGGTGTGCTTATTTCTTGGTGCCAGATTCACTGAAATATTTTATAACTGCTAGTCTTGATATTTTATAACTGTTGCCTTATTTATTAATCAAAAATATTAAAATTTGTACCGACTTTCAAATAATCTCTTCTCATTATCTATTTTTTTATTTTATTTAAAGGAACTGCATTTTTTTGTAGCTTCAACTAAACCGTTTTGAATGTCGCTTTCCTCCTCTCTGTGTTTTTTCTAGTTTGGACTGTTTTTTCCATTCTGCCGCACTCTGCTTTCGCCTTTCTTGTACTGTCAGTTTCTTAACTCCCCTCTCTCTCAAGGTTAGAGCTTTATTTTATGCTGTCTTTGTTGTATTTTAGCATTACAGTTTTTTATTTACACGATATATTTTGAAATTAGAGTGTTTTTTATGCGGAAAAGTTGATAAACAGTGAAAACGGTTGATCAGCATGCTTTTGTCATGTGTCATTTGATACTTGTAGCCTGACTTCCCTGGACTCCTCAATCCACTTAAAATCATTAAGGTGAGGCTTTGATGAAATGCACAAAACAACATGAGAGAAAATATTTGTAAGGGTGCATGTGGGGCCAGAGGTGCTCAGCAGTTAGGAGCACGACTGCTCTTCCAGAGGACTCAGGTCTGGTTCCCCACACTCACGTGCTGGCTTCACATTGGTTGCAACTCCAGTTCCCAGGGAGCTGCTGGAGCTGACACCCTCTTCTGGTTTCCATCAGTACTGTTTGTGCTTGATACACTTATACATACAAGCAAAACACTCAGACACATACGAATTAGACAGAAAGGGAGTGTACGGAGAGGTGTCTTAGCAGTTAAGAATACTGGCTGCTCTTCCAGAATACCTGGGTTTGATTCCCCACTCACAGGTGTGGCAGCTTACAACCATCTGTGGGATCGAAAGCCCTCTTCTAGTCCTCACAGGCACCAAGTGCACATTGGCTACACAGACTTGTAAGCAAGCAAACACCCATACACATAAAAAATAATTCAAAATTGAATAAATGAATAAAATAATTTTAAAAGACGTGCATGCTACAGTTTTTCTTTGTGTACCCTTCATATACTATACATAATTTTAGTTGAACTTTTCCATATTTGCTTGCATGCCATTTTAATCATTTAAAGCTATTACCTTCTAGCTTGTTTGAGGCTAAACTAATTTATTTAACTTAATCTTCTTGCCTATTGGTGTTTTAATAGCAAAGGCTGCAAAATGTGATCCACTTTTTAAGAAGAGGTATGGAAGCCATGTGTTTCCTTGTATACTTGCACCTCTGATAGAACTTTTCTCAGTAGCATTTAAGTGATAGAAGTTACTCTTGGTAATGAATGTGAGATCAAGTTCTATTTTTTTTTTCATTTTTTTCACCTGCCTGGATATCTGACTCAGCCTAACCCATAGGTCAAGTTTAGATAAAACTAAAACTTAGTGAATAACTGTCTCCTGCAGAAATCTGCTTTGAGATTCTTAATTTAATATGGCTTCAGTAATGGTCTGTATATTAATGGAGCTTAATAAGACAGTTAAGTATTTTTGAGAATCATGGCAGTGTGCACCTCTAAACTAACCTCAGCTCTCCAGAGACTGAGGCCAGAAGGTTTACAGTAAATTTAAGGCTAGTTTAGGCTACATAGTGAGCCCAAGAGTAGCCTAGGCCACATAGGGAAGTGCTGTCTCAACTGCCCCTTCAAAATAATTATATTTGATGTAAGGTTGTAATTAATATAAAATTTGAAGTTTAATTAATTGAATCTTTATAGATGAGTTTTAATGCTAATAGTCAAAACAACTCAGTATTAGCAGGCAATGTGATATTTAAAAAGTAGAAGGAATTATTATTAACCTGTTTGCTAAGTTTACTTTTAGCAAAATGTTTTCTAAGTTACTTTGGCATGCAAATGCCAAAGGTCATGTTATAAAATGACAGTTGTATTTAATCAGAAGATTTTTGATCAAATTAATAGGTCCAACTTTGAGCAATCCTTTGATCTGTTTCCCAGCTCTAAATTTAGTTAATACTCACCTCCCAATGATTCAGTTTTCAGATTACTTTTGAGACCTGATTGATAGGCTTAGCAGTGCCTATTAAATTTTAATGATTGTGTAAGGGTGAGGAATAGAATATTATGGAACATTTAGATCTTTTCTGCTGTGTGCATGGTGACACATGAAAATCACAGCATTAGTATTAATAACTCAGTTTTATGTTCTAATAAGGCCACTAATATATCTTAGGTCTCACACAGTCAGGTTTTATTTTTACTATTTCAAAAGCTGATGATTCTGCTATTTGTTATTCTGATTATAATGGTGTGTATAAGTCGGGTTTTTAAAGGAGCAGTTATCCTCTTGTTCTGACTTTAGAAAGCGAACTGGACATCAATGGCAATTCAAAAAAGAAAAAGTTACTTCATTTGATCTAAGTAGACAGGGCAGAGATTTATTTCTCCATTTTCCGGGTGAAGAGGATATAGTTAGCAAAATAACAGAATGTAGATTAAACCTAAATTCTGTATCTATATAAGTATCATTTGGTAACCAATTCTGATATCATCCTTATTAAAAGAAAACTATGTGTTGGGTATATGGTGTCCCATGTAGTCCCCTTACTTGTGGGTGGAGGCAGGAGGATCAGGAATTCAAGGTCACCGTTGTCTCCATAGCACGTTTAAGGCCATCTTGGGTAAATGAGACCTTGCCTCAAAAACACAAAAATGAACTGGAGAAATGGCTTAACAGTTAAATATGTGAACTGCTGTTGCAGAGGGACTGGAGTTTGACTCCCGGAACCTGTCAGGCTGCTTACAACCACTTATAACAGGGGATCTGATGCGTTTTTCTGGCCTCTGTAGTATGCACATGCACACAGTTAAAAATCTGTTTACAAAAAAAACAAAAAACCCAGAAAAACAGTAATACACACCAAAAAAATTAAAAAATGAAAAGAAAGATTTTCTATATAGAGACTTACATACATGGTGATAGTAGTATTTATTGTAGGACATGTTTGAGCAGTTGGTCAGTTGATTTTTGGTTAGATTAGATAATAAAAGCATTTAACAAAAAGTATTTGTTGAGTAAAGTCAACCACCATTATAATTCTGAGACTCAACAAAATTTATGTACTTATTCTGTGCTAGATGATGTAAATAGAAATATATCATCATCCCTGTTGCTGCTAATCACACATCTTAGTGGAGGAATTAATTTCTAATCTTGCATGTGTTTATTTACTGCAGAATTCTGGGTAAACTAGGATCATGTGACAAAGGCAATGGGATCTGGGGTGTGAGTTTATATTATTGAATAATAGCTTTCTGGAGGGTGTAAGGGAGCTGTCTTAATATACAAGAACATATATAATTACAAATACATATATATGGTTGTGCAAAGTATTTTATTAAATGAGTTAAAAGTGATAATATGTAGTAAAATGGAATACCTTGTTACCCTGTGTAGCTTTAGCATTTCGAGTGCTTAGCATTTATAGTAGTAATGTATAACTGTGAATTTTCTGTTTTTAGACCATCATAGGATCAAGTCCTGTTGCAGATTTCTCTGCTATTAAGGAACTAGATACTCTTAACAATGAAATAGTTGACCTCCAGAGGTATGTAAAGTAAAATTATAGCTAACTTTATAGGCACACATACAGATTATATGTATAGTATATGTGTATTACATAAACTTCCTTATTTCTTATGCACATTTTGATAAATACTACTTTATTTCTTTAAATACAATATTTCTGCTTAAATGGGATCAGAATGCTTTTTCAAAAAAATCAAATATAAGCTAGGTGGTGGTGATGCATGCCTTTAATCCCAGCACTCGGGAGGCAGAAGCAGGCGGGTCTCTGTGAATTCAAGGGCCAGCCTAGTCTAGAGAACAAGTTGTAGGACAGTTAGTACTGTTATACAGAGATACCTTGTCTTGAAAACAAACAAATAAAATTAAATATAAGACAATTGATCAAGGAATACACTCACTGTTGACCTCTTGCCTTCACACTCATGCATCTGTACACATACTCACAAATACACACATACATACACCTATACCTTTTTTTTACTTTGGTTCAAGACAGAATTAAACATTGGGTTACTGTGTCTATAATCATGTTTATATTTCATTTTCACAGGGCCTGTAAATGCCCCATTAAACATTCTTGCTTATGTGTGTATTAACATTTAAACAGCTAGTTAGGAAAATGCTTGTCTCTGTGCCTCTCAAGCTGATGCAGACAGACACATTCTTCAATGTTCTACACTTGCTTTCTTGACTTGCACAATTGTTTAGTGTATAAAATGCCTTTATTGTTATTTTAAAAGGAATTAGCACCATAGATAAAATACTCTTTACATTTGTTGCCATTTCTAATAGTTACTACATTTAGGCATTTAAGCTTTTACCAAGCTTTGATAATTGAGATAGTATGCCGTTCTATATAGTAAATGATAACTAATAACCTATGAGGAGCATGCCTAGCATTTTCAAGTTTTTGTTAGATCACCAAGTCTTTAGGATATTTCATTATATACCTAGTCTTTCAGTATTTTTTTTCTGTACAAAAGTTTTTACTCTTGAGGTTTTATTTTTGAGTCTTTTTAATAGAATGAATGTGTATAACTATGATATAGGAAAAGAATTCGAACAGTGTATGTGATGTTTACTAAATTGCTTTTTGACAGAAGATTTCACTTTTATTGTTGTTTGTTTTTTACCATTTTTATTTATTTCTGCATTGTGTGTGTGCACACATGTGTGTGAATGTGCTGTGGTGCATATACAAAGGCCAGAGCACAACCTTCTGGAGTCAGTTCTCTCCTCCCACCAGCGGGCCCTGAGGATCAAACTTAGGTTGTCATGTCAGGCTTGGTGGCAAGTACCTTACCCATTGTGCCATCTCACTGGCCCTTTCATTGGTTAGAGATGAAGATGTTTAATTCCAAAGACTTCCAGTTGACATAGAATATACTACTCAGACCCCCAGTTAACTGTTGTTAGTTGAATTCTATTTGATCAAGATATGAAGGGCTCTTCCTTCATGGTGTTCCCCTACAGAGCACAGAGGTGTAAACCTTTAATTCCAGCACTCAGGAGGCAGAGGCAAGCAGAACTCTTGAGTTCAAAGTCTACAGAGAGAGAACCAGGATAGTCAGTGCTACATAGAGAGACCCTGTCTGTCTAAAACCAAACAAAACACAAAACTGCAGCAACAACAAAAACCCCATAGTGTTTCCCTGTCACCCAGACCATTCTTATTAAATACTTCCCACAGTATATTCTCTCCTAGGACACTTTAAAATTTTGTAAGAGCAGATAATGTATTTACTCTTTCTACCTTCAGAAATAAGCAGAGTGCTGTAACCATCTTTTGCTTTATTAGTCACTTCTCTTTTTATTGAGGAAATGCTTGACAGAAGCAACTGAAGCAAGGGAGGATTTATATTTGCTCACAGTTCAGAGGGTTCGGTCCATCATAGCAAAGCAATCTGGGTGGTGTGAGTGGCTCTGTCCACCAAAGCAGGCATCTGTTGTAGAACTTCTCATGCAGCCGCCAGACCACAAAGCAGAGACTACTCTGACAGTGGGACTGGGCTATAACTTTCAAAAGCCCACTCTTAGTGACCCAACTCCTCCAGCCACAGCAGACTTCCCATTGCCTCCCAAAAAGCAATACTAACTAAAGACCACATACTCAAGTATAACAGCGTGTGAGGACATCCATATTCAAACTATACTATTCCCTTTCCTCTAACCACCTGATACAGGTAGGCATATTACCTCTCACCTCAGCCTGACACCTCTTGTTTTATTCGTTGTCTCTCATGTTACTGTTCTCATTTGCCTGGATATACCTTTAACACTGTAAGCATCTATTCATGCTTGATGGCCCAAGTAAATATCTCTTGTTAAGATGTTCTTAAAATCTTTAGGTTGCCAGTTGTTCTTTTTCTATTTCCAGAAACTTGATCCGTTCGTTTATTATTTTTATTTTCTTTCAAATATTTATTTATTTATTTATTTTGTATACAATATTCTGTCTATGTGTATGCCTGCAGGGCAGAAGAGAGCACCAGACCCCATTACAGATGGTTGTGAGCCACCATGTGGTTGCTGGGAATTGAACTCAGGACCTTTGGAAGAGCAGGCAGTGCTCTTATTATTTTTATTTTTTCAAGACAGGATATCTCTGTGTAGCCCTAATTGGCCTACCATTCGCTACGTAGACCCGCCTGACTTCAAACTCACAGATTTCTACCTGTCTCTGCCTCCTGAGTACTGGGGTTATAGGTGTATACCACCATGCCCAGCCAGTTCTTAAAAGCTGTTTATGGATCTCATAAGAATCCTTACTCTGAGCCGGGCTGTTGTGGTGCATGCCTTTAATTCCAGCACTCGGGATGCAGAGGCAGGCGGATCTCTGTGAGTTCGAGGCCAACCTGGTTTACAAGAGCTAGTTCCAGGACAGGCTCCAAAGCTATAGAGAAACCCTCTCTCGAAAAACAAAACAAAAAAAGAATTCTTACTCTGAAAGTAAAATGCCTCAGAGAAGTTATGGTTTTTTATTTGGTTGTTGTTGTTGGGGACAGTTTTTTTTTTAAAAAAAAGATTCATTTTAATTATATGTGTATGGATATGTACATGTGAATCAGGTGCCTGTGGTGGCCAAAGGTTTAGGATCCTGTGGGGCTGGAATTATAGGTGGTGTTATGGGTCCTGGGAATGGAACTCAGATCCTCCGCAGGAGCAGCTTGTGCTCTTAACCACTGAGCATCTCTCCAGCCTGCTGTGAGAAGTTCTGAACAGATGAAAGGTGCAAGAAAATGAGACTACTTCAGTCTCTTGGATAGCGTGGTCATGGCAGTTTATGCTGAGGCAGGAGTGAATATTTTGACTTCTGCTAGCTTCTACTTCCTTCTTGCCTGTCCTGTTAGCAAAAGCATAAGGAAGCAAAAGCCACATCCTGTCAGGCCTATTTGTTTTCCTGGCTTTGGGCCAATAAGCAAGATAGGTAATTATAGTAGTTATTGGGATTGTGCTACATCCACTTTATATAAATTCTTTTTTTTTAATTCTTGCAACATCCCTGAAGTGAAAGAGATTTTATCTTGATTTAATAGTTTTTAAATTATTTATTCTGTGTGGGCATGAGGATGCATATGCATGTATATAAACATGCATGCCACAGAGATAGGTGGAGGTCAGAGGACAACTTGCAGGATAGAACTCTGGTTGTCAGTCTTGGTCACAAGTGCCTTCACCTACTGAATCACCTTTCCAGCTCCTGTGTCTTATTGCAGAGAGGCCATACAGTATAGGATTTTAGTGGTAGAACTTTTGACCAGATTCCCAGATTATCTGACATCATTTTGTCAAAAATTTTTTTCACATTCGTTTAATGTGTGGGATGGTGTGTACACATGGAGGTCAGAGGCCAACTTCTGGAATGAGGCTTTTTCTCTTCTTCCACCATATATGTCCTGGAGATCAAACTCTTGTCATGCTAGGCTGCAAGTTCCTTCATTCACTAAGCCGTCATACTAGCCTGATTTGGTCAGATTTACTTAACTATGTCTTAGTTTCTTCGTATCTAAAATGGAAATGCAACTCTACTATGTGGATGCTGAGAACATGGTAAATCAGTACAAGTTATTGTCATCCTCAATACTCAGCTCATACTTTAGCATGTAAGACTTGCTCAATAAGTACTGTTTAGAATAGCTAAATGAATTCTTTTTCCTAGGTGAAGACAGACTAGGACCATTGTAGCCAGATAGTCAGTGCCATGTCTTTGCCCAGGAATTGACCTAACTGGGGCAGTGAGGGAATGAAGAAAAGACAGACACAGAGAGACCTCCAAAGACGAAAAAGCTGGGGTTGGGTGGGCCGAGTTCATGGAGAGAGAAGCCACAGCACCCAGGAAGCTCAGTGTATCATGTGAAGTTGGTCAGAAGGTAAGATTATTACATAAAATTGCAGAAGGGGACAGGGTTATTAAACACATTTGAACAAGGAGGCAGGGCTTTTTTTTTTTTTTTACACAGCTGAACAAGGAATCGGGTCTAGCTAATCTCTAGGAGCAGTTTGCAGGTGGTAAAATTGGGGCCTACAGGAAGGCTTTGCCATCCCTTTGAGCCTCACAGTGGTAGGCTGGGCTGGGGTGGATTTGCCAGTTCTCCATGGGGCTAATGCATTGGTCTAGACATGTCCATGTAAATATGTTCCTTGATATATAGGCTTCTGTCTTGTTTATATTCAAGAACTGATGTAAAACAATAACAGCTTTTGATACCCTGGAAATGAGTCTTTTAGCCCCATACTCTGTCATCATCTGGGTCTCAACCTCTCAAGAGGCACTTGAGTTCTGTCTGCCCACAGGAGTTTTGTTGTTGCTTTGTTCTTTTGCAGTGTTTGGATCAGGGCCTTATACTGAGCGAGCTCTCACCGCTGAAGGGAGAGAGAGCCTTATGAATTCCCAACTCAGAGACAGAGAGATATATTGTTGGCTATATATGTGATTCATTATGCAGCAGTAAATAACTAATACAGATTAAGTTCATAAATTATTTATTATTAAAAATTTCTTTTATTTTTTATTTATTTAATGTGCACTGGT